GCTGTGCCCACACTCATGTCGGGCACACTGGTGAGAAAATGGGAGTTGCAGGGGCCAGGGAGCACTCTGGGGCGGGGGGACTGTCCGGAAGTTTTCCCTGACACCCCTGTTTCAGACACATTCGGAGAACAAGGACCAAGGCCGGAGGGGCAGAGTGACAGAAACAGAGTGGGGGGTCCTGGCACTGCAGGCCAGGCCAGGCTGCTCCCCGCCGCCACAACTGGGGCCCCGGCTGGGCCCAGCAGAAAGCACACGTGCCTCGGTGCCTTCCTGAGACCACTCTGCTCCGGAGCCTCGGCTGAGGACGCGGCCCCAAGCCTCTGAGCAGCCCGGGCTTCTGGGCCAGGAGCCTTAAAAGGAGAGATTTGGGACACTCCGTGTGGGGAGAGGGCTGAGGGGGAGCCCACAGCTCGGGAGGAGACTGGCGGGAGGTAAGAGAGGGACACGCTGATGTTTTTTTCAATTTCAGACCCAGACCCTGCCCACCCCCCCGCCCCACCCCCACCGCATGCTCCTGCACCGCCACCCTGAGCCCCCCGCAAATCACACCGAGTGCCTGCCCGGTCACCTAGCCGACCCGCCGGCTGGTCCCAACAGCCTGGTGTCCCCTGCGCACACACCCCCACCCCCCGACTTCCCAGGGCCCGCAAAACATTTGCACCATGTGCAGTTCGCAATAAAGAATCCTCTTGGCATCCTATCCTTAGAAACCCGTTCTCATTCTCGAAGCCTGGTCAGCTGCCTGCACCGCGCAGAGGTGCCATCAGCCTGGTTTAGCAACGGAGTTTTGCCAGTCACCTTGACACCAGTGGAACCATCCTAACTGGAACGGCGCCTCCTCTCCTTTCCACTCCTTTCCTCAAACTCCTTGCTTTACACTAGAGACGTGCACGTGTATGTTTGAGACACACCAAAACGGAACATGCCAAATGAGTGCCTTTCTGGGACTAGGGAGGAGGGGTGGGCGGCGGGGCCCTTCCTGCCGCCTTTCGGGGTTGCCTGGGGCTCCTCAGCCCAGTGCAGGGGCCTCCCAGCTGAGGGCCAGTCGACAAGCACTTTTTCTTGATGTCCTGAAAGAAGTCCCAGTGTGTAGCAACTGAAGAAGGCTCAAGCCTTCAGGGTGTGAGCTCAGTGGTGCCTCCAGGTGCTGGGGGAGAGCAGGAGGACGCGGCGACTGTATGCAATGAAGTGTTTCTCTTGATCTAATTAAATGCAGTTTTATGGTTTGCTGCGTTTATTCCTATTTTCCATTAAATTAACTTTATTTCTAGAGCATATTTTGATTTACCATCAAGAGCAATAAAGCATTAAATCTTATTTTTAAAGGTGTCCTGCTTATCTGTAATTGAAAACTATACCCACAATTGTGACATTCCAGCTGGTAAAAAGCTGCTGTCCCAGAGGATGGGAGGGAGCATTAAGCACAAATAAGGTAAAATGGAGGATAATTTACAGGAGGCTTTTCAACGAAAATATTAGACACCCAGCGGGGAGGCGGCGGAGTTCAATCGAAGCACGTCGTTCCACCATTTTGAGGCCCATGCGTTAGACTCAAAAGTTCACTGCGTTCGTGTTGACCAAAGTCGGAGCATGTATCTGTGAAGGACAAGCTCCGAGGCCTGCAGCGGCCTCTCCCCAGGCAGGCGGGTGGGCTGGGGACAATGGGGGTGGCAGGAGAAGCGGGAGGGATCCTGGACCTCTGGGGGCAGGGGCGGGGCAAGCGGCAGGTAAGCAAGCCCTGAGCCTCCCCAGCACCCAAGGGCTGCCCGGTCACCGTCCTTGGTGACAAAGAACATGCAGTGCGGCTTCTGTGACTCGGACCGAGGGAGACGCCCTGAATTAAGCCAGTGGCCCCGCTCACAAAGCTGACCATACCCGAGGGGCAACCTGGGGGTGGCAGTGCCTTCCCGGCGTCCAGGGGCACCTCGGGCCGGCAGCGTGCAGGCCCTGGGGAGCCTTGAGTCCACACTGCCCTGGACCCTGAAGCTTAGGCTGGGGGCGGGCGCGGGCGCAGGCACGGACGCGGACCACTGGCGGTACCGCCGGTAGGGGGCCCACCCCTTGCCACAGTCGTGGCCTGGGGTGGTTGCTTATTTGGGAGCCCCAGGGGCTGGATTCCTCGCTCTTGCAAACCTGCACCAAGCTAAACTGGCAGGGCTGAGCCACGCGGACACCACTCCACAGCCGCCGGCAGAGAAGCAGCCTCTGGGCCAGGGGCGCTGAGCAGAGCCAGGCCCAGGATACGTGGGGGCAGCGGCCTCAGAGCCAAGCTCCACGAGGGAGCCCCTGCGGGAGCCACAGCACCAGCCCTCACCGGGCCAAGCCTGGGCCTGATCTACCCCCCACCTCCGCCACCGGTCCCAGTCACCCAGCTCTGCCAAGCCAAGCCAAGCCAAGCCCGGGCAGCCTCTGAGGAGCAACTCCCACCCCGCCGCCCAGCTAAGCCTGAGTTGACTTAACCTGTGCTTCTCTCTTAATCACCTTAACTTGAACGCAGGGGTTAAGCCCTCTCCCTGAGCCCTGCCCTGCCTTCACCCACCCCTCCCCTCCCCCATGATTCAAATCCAATTATGTTCCGAGCGCAGGAATCATTTAGAAAAGGGGCCCCCCCAAACTGCTCGTGAATGACAAGAGGCCTATGGAATGGATGGTCAGTGCATTTTATTTAATCAGCACAGTACAAAAATAAATAAAAATAAGGGAAAGGGAATTAAATTACAGCCAAACTGAGCTTCATGACCTTGTCAGATTATAAACCACACATACTTACAAACACACTACACATACATACAAAATGAGACAAATATAAATTAATATTAACAATACCCACGGTTTGGTCAAAGAATAACTACAAAACGAATTGCACTAAGAACCAACATACACCGCACGTGTAATTAGCAGTTTCAAATATACAGCGATGAATAATTCCAAGTGGAAAAAAATGGCACATTTTCTTCTCATTGCAAGTTTAACAACTGCTGGAACAAAACTAAATTCTAATAGCTGCATGGAAAGAATATATCAACCCTTCAGGTTTACAAGAAAAAGAGAAAAACCAAATCCTGAACTATTATTCCTGTGACTGGTTCTGTGCACGGGTGTAATGTTCACGGCCATCTGTTCTAAGATTATTTTTCTTAAGACACAAAATGCTCCTGGTTCGCATGCACAAGATCACTGTCAAAGCAACAATGAAAGAATAAAGGGTTTGTTTTTTTTTTCCCCCGTAGGTTAGTTTTTTTTTTTTAATTGTTGTTCTAAAAGTAGTCTTCATAGCAGCATGTCAAATGGGTTCACTGCCTGCACACTTGAGTCCATCAGCTCCTGCACCCAGGACTGACCAGCGCAAGGGCGGGGAGGAGGAAGGGGCAGGCTTCACACTGGGGGGGGGGGGGGGGGGGGCGCAGCCAGAGACTGGCTTCCTTCGTCCCCCAACCACTCCTGAAATTTGCACCTCCTCCGAGAAATAAAAAAATAAATACGGAGAAAGAGAAGGAAACACACAAAACCGGAATCCTGGGGATGCAACTGAAGTGCAGTCTCGGGCCAAGTTCGGCCGCCACCGAGAAAGAGCGACTACGGACGCGCACCCCTCCTCTGGAGACTCGGCACCCGAACCTCCCTCTTTCGGGCCACCAGGGCCTGCTGCCCCCACGGGCCTCCTACCTCAGGTCACACGTGGCGGCAGGATCTGCACAGACGGGCTGTGTGACAACTCCGACCGAGAAGAGGCGCGGCGGCGGCGGCAAAGTCTGTGCCAGCAACCTTCCAGCAGGTTCCTTCCAGCTCCACATCAGATTATCTGGCAGCCCCAGGAACGGAACGGCTCAGGCTCAGCGTGGGCCCAAGGCGCAGCTGGGGCTAACGCGATCCCAGCCCAGGCAGGCCCTCCCCCTCTTCTCCGGGAACACCCAGGCCGGTGGCCCGGCTCCAGGCCTCTTACACCGGGACCTCCGTTTCACAGCTTTCTCTTGTTCGTGTGAATTTCAGTAGTGCTCGTGCTGAAACCAGCAGCCACCTGGAACCTAACCCTATGTCAAAGGACCCTCTGCCTTCCCCCAGCCCCCTATTCCAGCACTCCCCGGGAGGGGGAGGGGGGGCATGGGGACTGGAAGAGAGAATTCCCCAGAGCGTCCTCACATTGGTCTTTGTTCCCCAAAGCTGGAGTGATGGGCCACGGAGTAAGGCTCGCTCCCTTCTCCCGGTCCTCTCCCAAGTCCCAAGCCACCAATCTGGGAGAATTAGAAAGGAAATTGATTAAGTACACATCGTGTGTTTTCGCAGCCACGAGGGTAAGGTGGAAACCCAAACCAGCAGCTGCAAATGATCAGGTGCAGAATCAGCAGGCTTCCGAAGCAATCAGGAGCGCTACTCCCGTCTTGGAATTGTCTCCAAGATCCAGTGGTCTCACTGGGCCTTGCGGGGCAAGGCTTCGTCTTCAGAAGAAACTGAACTGTTTGGAAACAGCTTGAAATGAACAGGGGTGGGGACAGGGGGTACATCATTACCACATCGCCCTGATCCCTGACATCACCCCCCACCCCGGCTCTGCAGAACGAATGTCATGCACCAGCAAGAGGCCTTAGCCCTCAGGTGGGCACCGGCTGGTTTCGGGCACGACAACCCCACCCGCCCAGAAGGCAGGCTGTTGGTAATGGGCACCTGCAGCTGCCCTGGCCTTCACCACAGGGTGAGTAAGCTGCATTAGTCAAATGAAAGGTTCACCCAGGAAAGGAGCTGTCCCTAGCTGCACCCCACCCCTTTAGCTGGGACCCAAAATCAAAGAACTTAATGAGTCAAACCAGCTCCTTAACCCAACACTGCCAACAACGGCTGGGAGCGGGGGAGCAGGGGGCTAGGGGGCAAGGTCCATGTCTTCACTAAAGGAAAGCCCTTCTCCCTAAAAAAAGAAAAAAAGAGCAAACCAGGGTGGTGCATGGTCAAACGACAGGCCCCAATCTTTGTACCAGGCCAGCTCCTCCTCGACTGAAGAGTTGCCCCACAACCCTCCTCATGGCTCGGTCGGGGTGGCCAGCTCCACAGGCCTCTGGGAGAATGGATGACCCAAAACAAGAGCCAGGAAAGGACCCCCAGCCGGGAAGGCCAGTCGCTCCCTGGGCCAACCGGCCAGAGGCCCCCCTCCGGCTCCCGCGCCAGGAGCGGTGGACGGCCTCGCCCGCCCCGGTCCCGCAAGGGCACAGGTGGCAAGAGGACACACGGTCCCCTGAATCCCCCGAAGTCGAGAGGTCAGCGGCCCGGGTGGCTCTGGATACATCTGAGTGTTGCACAAGGTTCGGGAGTTCAAAAGCGCCCAGAATTCTTGGCAGGGCTGAAGAAAACCCCAAGGAGGGACGGTGGGAAGGGAGAGGCCCTTGGTGGCTTTGCTAGACACATACTGTACACAGAATCTGATTTGCTTAATAATAAATTTTTAAAAACGAACTGAATCCTTGAGCCATGATGCGGGCCACGGGGCTCACCGATCGAGCCCGAGGAGGAGCCGCTTCTTGTCCTCCTGACCACTCTCGTTCTTCAGGTCGGAGAACACCTGTGTGAAGTAGTGTGGGTCGGCGTTGATCTGCAGCATCTTGGAGCTCATGAGGTTGATGACGGAGAGGCAGCGGTCCCAAAAGGCCTCCTTGCAGCTCTCCACCAGGAAGGGCTTGAGCGGGTAGGAGATCTCGTTGCCCATGTAGGAGTAGGAGAGGTACAGGCAGGTCAGCAGGATGGCCTGGAGCTCGTGGTCCGAGCCCACCTCGGACGAGATGACGTCCCTGCAGAGCATGTAGAGGAAGACCACGTTGGCGGGCGTGATGAAGCCCTGGTCCTGCCAGCCCTGCAGGAGCAGCGAGCGATCCACGCTGCGCAGCCAGAGCACAGGGTCCGTGGGGGACAGGTGCTTCAGGCGGTAGCACCGGCGGCACAGGAACTCGCCCAGGCAGCGCAGCAGCTCGCTCGTGGACGCCTGGACGATGACACGTTTGGGCGTCCCTGCGGAGCTGAGGGCAGGGTGCGGGGCCTTCTTGACGGAGGAGGAGACCCCCCCGGTCTGGGAGCCCGAGAGCTGGCCGGCAGGGGGTGCGGGCGGCTGCGCCGGTGGGGGCTGGGCGAACGTGGACAGGTTGGCGCACGACAGCGACTTCTTCAGGTTCTCATTGTTGAGGTGCGTGATGTTGTTCTGGTAGCTGCTGTTCGGCTGCACCTTCTTGGAGTTCTTCTTCTTGGCCGACACGGCCACGATCCTCTTCCAAGGCAGCACGGAGATGATGGAGTGCCGCTTCAGGTTCTTGTCCTTGGCGTTCTTGCTGTTCTGCACGGCCGTGTAGTGGCCCACCGTGGCCGCGCCATCCTCAAACAGCGTGGCCTTCCGGTAGCTGGGGGACAGGGACAGCACCGTGCCCATGGTGCCGCTGCGCGCCGGGCGGGGGCCCGCGCCCCTGCGCGCCCAGCCTGCCGGCCGGAGGCACAAAACAGCTCAGCGAGCCCGCGGCGGCCCCGGGCAGGAGGCGGGGGCGCTCCCGGCTCCCGGGCGCGTGCTGCCCCTTCGGATCTGCGTGGAAAACAAGATGGTTCTCAGCACCAGGCGGGGCTCGGCGCCGCGCTCCTCCACCCGGGCCAACGCGGCCCCCGCGGACTTGGCCCCGGCCCCGCGCCCCCGCGCCGCAGCCCCGCCGCCTCCACTGCGGCACCCCCCGCCCGCCTGCCGCGGCCGCTGCGGTCCGGACGGCAGCGGGAGGGGCCCGGGCGCCGGCGGAGGCGGCCGGGGCGGGGGAGGGTGGGGGGTATTGGGGGACCCCCGCCTCGACACCGCGCGCGGCCCCGACCCCGGCCCCGGTTCCTCGGGGGCACGGGCGGCCCCAAGGCGCAGGCTTACCCGGCAGGCGGCGGCGGCTCCTGCGCTCAGCGCCCTCCCTCCGCAATGCGCGCCGCGGCTCGGGCCCGCGGTCCCGGCGCTCGGCGGGGCTCGGCGGGGCTCGCGCTCCGCGGCGGCGGCTCCGGAGCTTCTGTCCAAGGTTCTGCAGGCGCCTCGGCCCCGCCTCCCGCCGGCCGCCCTCGCCGCCGCCGCGCTCCCGTTCCCGCTCCCGCCCCGGCGCGCACCTCAGCGGCCTCCCTGTCGGGGGCGCGCGCGCGCGCGGCCCACGCGCCGGCCCGGGCTGGCCTGCTCCTGCCTGGGAGCCGGGCCGCCGCGGTCCTCAGCGCCAGCCCCCGCGCGCGGTGCGGGTAGGGATGCGGCCGCGAGCCCGAGCGCCTCTACTCGCCGCACCCCATCTAGGACCCGGACTCGAGCGGTGGCGGCGGGTACCCGCGGCGCCGGCCCCGCCTCGCCTCTCGGGGCCGCTCCTCCCGCACCACTCGCCGCCCGCTCTGCGCCGCCGCGCCAGCAGCCGCCCGGCCGCGTGAGAGTCCCCGGCGCCCCGCGCAGCCGAGCTCGGGCCGGGCGGGGGGCGGGAGGGGGCGCGCCGGGGGCGGGGCCGAGGGCCGAATCCGCCCGCCGCCCCGCCCAGACACGTGCTGCCTTTGTTCCCGCCGCGGCGCCCGCAGCCGCGGGCCGCGGGGGCGCTCTCGGCCGCGTCCCCGCCCTGGCGACGCACGGCCCGCCCGAGCTGAGGTTGCCGCGCGAGAATCCATCCACGGAGACCGGCCGGGGCCCCGAGATCCCTTCCCATTAACATCCTTGTCCGGCCGGGAAGAAGCTAGGGACTCGAGGAGGAAGGTCCTGAGCCGGGGCGGGGAGGCGGAAGCCTTTGCTGAAAAGCCACTCGCATCCCGATGGGCTGTCCCATCGACTTTCACGTCTCCCCTCCGGGGCCTCTATTCCCGCACCTCAGGTAAAGGGCCGGAGCCCGGGTAAATAGAAATCCAGGCCAGAGAGGTGTAGGCAGTTCTGGGGCTGGTCCACAAAACAGCGACTGGCTTTCTAGCACCCACCTGGCTGGGAAAGGGCTCTGAGGCCCCCCGGGGGGGCCGCTGCCCCAGAGACGGGCCAGCCCTTCACAAATGTGACCTCGACATTTCCACTGGCCCCTTATCAGTTATAGTAAAACTGAAGCCACTGCTCTTCCAACCAGCCTCTGATCCTCTGATTCCGATGTTTTTCCTGCTAACCATGTATCATTTGAAGATCTGGTGCCAAACTGTAAAATTCTGAATCTAGTAAGAACAGTTCCTCTCACAGACAAGAATTCACATCCTTCACAAGAGCCATTCTTCATTTGTTTTTCTTTTAGTTGGTTCTGGAAACTGAGTTGCTCACAAACTGGAGAAACATTAGATTGAAACCCTATTTTAATCCAGATTATCACCTCTGGACCAAAAGATAAGGAAGCAGTAATCCAGATTACCCAATTCCTGGCCTCCTGGCCACTCCGGCCTGCGAGGCTGTCAACCTGGGCCCACTGTGCCGGTGCTGCCCACGGCCCTACGCAGGACAGTGCTGCTATCGAGTCAAAGTGCTAGAACGCGTACATGTACTACCCAGCTGTTTCTCTGTCAATAGTGGCAAGTGAAAGCTTTAGGGACTTTGGTGACACGGAATGGAAAATGCATTGTTCTGTGCGGCTGCTTGTGAAACATCCACAGCAGCTGTCATCTTAAACTTAGATGAAAGCTGGCCCTTCGCTCAACAGGGCCCTCCCTCCCGATGTTCCTCCGTGTACCTCGGCCTGCTCTTGAAATGGAGCGGTCCTCAACCCTCCTTCCCTATTAGTAAGGAGCTTGAAGAAGTAATCTATTCCAGGTCCCCTGGCCCAATGACTCTCTTTCTCTCCAAGGCAAAGCCTTTTTCCCTCCAGCCCCTGGTGGAGAGGCCCAGCTCCCAAGTAGGCCTTTGTCCATACTGCCTCTCAAGGTCCCCTTCAGATTCTGGTGTTGAGCAAAGGTTAAATGCTTTCCATTTCACAAAATATGCCCAGATTTCGAAGCCTATAAGCCTCCCCTTACTTAGATCCACCCTGGTACCTGTACCTACAAATTTCAGTTCCAGCTATTCCAATTCATGGCAGGCAGTACCAAGGTCCACTTTACCCCACTTGATTTCCCAAACCAAAGCAGCAGGCACTTGCCCGGACCTTTTCCAGGCTGGCCACACTCTGGTATCCTCTCTTGCCTTTGTCCAGCCAGCCTTCCCTAGCACCTTCAAAAGAGCTCTTTGCATTACTACCTCAGCCTCCTCACACTTGCCAAAGGCAAAGCCATGTTTGCAGCACAGCATGAACGACATGTGCACTGGCAGCCCGCTTGCCAGTGTGCCTGAGGAGAGGGGTTGTCTGGAAGTCCTGTCCGCCGCCCTGCCGTGCCCACTGTTTCAAGGCACCCACCACCACCACCACCACCACCTTCAAGCTCCTGTCACAGCTCCAGTGCAAGGCAAGGAAGAAAGGGCAATATTCTGCCGGAAACGGCAGAATCAAGGCCCAGAATGCAGACCCAGCTGAATGAAGCAGAGCTGTTTTCTTCCCAGTCTTCAGAGAACTGCAGGAAAGCACTCCAAACCCCATCATTGATTAGCCTATTGATCCTATGGCCTATCTCTAGCTGCCAGAAGGGCCAGCCTGCTTGTTATCTGCTCTGTTGGGCTGATATTCCCATGTGTCACCAGAGAATCCCTGTCCTCTGTATGGTCCCATCCCCATACCACCCTGTGAGAGAGAAGACAAGGCCCCGGCCAGCTCCCTTCCAGAAAGGGCTCCAGATAAAGCAAGGCTAAGCCCTGGCTTCTGAAACAGCCGTGCTTTGTTCCTTCAGGGATCACAGAGCAGCATCTAGTGGCCCTTCCGGGCAGCACAGATTATATAACTAGCACGCAGCAGTGCTCCAGAGCCAAGCGCCTCAGCCTCTGCTCCCAACACCATCACCGTCTCATCAGCACACAAGAAAGCCATGACACATGAGGGCTGCTGCCAGGAAGGGTCCCTAGGTAAGGAAGCCGGGCCCAGGCCAGCCTCTGGGCCACCCGACCCACTCAGCTGTGCCCAGACCCAGCTCCCTTGAGGCCAGAGAGGGAAAGCAGCCCTGGAGGTCTAGAGCAGCATCATCCAAAAGAATATAACATGGGCCACAAATGCAAGCCACATAGGTATTTGAATATTTTTGAGTAGCCACATCATAAGAAAATTAAAAAAAAAGAAACAGGTGGATTTTAATAATATATTTTATTTAACCCATTATGCTCAAAATATTGCACATATATATAAAAAAATTGAGCTATTTTACATTTTTTTCATACTGTCTTTGAAGTCTGGTTTGTTTACATCTGCAATGCATCACACTTCGAACTAGCCACATGTCAAAGGCTACGTGTGGCCAGTGGACAGCACAGGTCTAGAGGTGGTCGTCAGACCCACAAAGGGAGCAGAGGAAGGGCTGCTGCCGACTGAGCCCCTCAGGGCAGCCCTAGGCTTGGGGAAACCACCCCCCCCTTCACCAGCTACAGGGCTGGATGCCTTGGGGATAGTTCTAAGGGTCCCTTGGCGAAGCAAAATTCTTCCTGCAAGTGCAACTATAGAAACTATACAGAGATTCTACAAAACTGAAACAAAGTAACAAAGTGGCTGGGACTGGAGTCGAACGGTGGTGAGAGCTCCCCCCTCACCCCTAGTTGGCCTTAGGGCCCCTCAGAAGAACCGCTGCCAGGGTCTGAGGGGCAGTATGAAAATCACTGCTTTTGAAGGTTTCAACAAAAACAAAACCACAACTGAGTGTCAGGACTCTCCAGGCACTTGCACTGGTAATGACTTCATACAACCCTCACACCACGATTCCCCACCAAGGAAGCAGCAGAGGCTCTCCCAGCCCAAACCCCCTGTCCTCACTGGACCATGTTGCCCTGGAAGAACAGAAGGATCCCTGCACACCACTTCCCATTTCAGACCTCACCGACCAATCTTCTTATCCAAATCCCTCCACTTTACCCCAGATCTAAAGGTCTCCCATGAAGCAAATGAGGTACCAGAGCTTTGGCCGGTCTAGAAGGCTACAGAGCTGTGTGGACTTGATCAGAAGCCCTCCAGCACTCAAGAAAGGACACTTTTTGAAAAAAAAAAATTTTTATTGGAACTCATCTGAACATCAGATATACCTGGTGTTGGTTAGCAAGAACCGTTTGTACATTTGATATTGATGGTGCCAAAACCAAAACAGTGACTGGACATGATGGGGAGAAATGTTGAGAACAAAAACCTGATTTTGGAGAGGAAAGTAAAAGCCAGTCAGATTCAGTGAGGATGCAAAACCTGGTACAACAAAATCCTTTTACAAAATACAAATTTATTACGAAAACCTGGAAGGATAATCTGAGAAAGGGAAAGAAAGAGAAAAGGAGGCCAGCAGGAAGGAGGCAGGAGGGAGGAGGAGAGGAGACAGCTGAGGGGCAGAAGCACGGCTGGGCGCGCGGGGGCGCTTCTAGAAGCCTACCTGCCCGAACGGCACGGCAGCCCCTCTCCGCGATCCGACCATGACACAAAGCGTGCTGAGACACAGTGCTCTACCCCCCAGCCATGTGGTTTCTAAGAGGTAAATAAAGCAGCTCCCTGGGAGGGGGACATGAGGTTGCTCGAAAACCCAACAACAAAGGTTTAAAAAAAAAAAAACAAGCAAGGAAAAAAGAAAACCCACACCCCACAGTCTCATTTCCAATGTTCACTTGTTTAAAAAAAGACTAAATCCATCTGACAGCGGAAGGAGTGCGACAGGGAGAGAAGCTGATGGGTTTCAGACAGCCTGACTCCCCTAGAGGGCAAGGAGGGGGGAAGAGAGACAGCGGACGGTCTCCCGGTTGAGCGGGGAAAGAGAAGGGACAGAGAGAAGAGCAGAGGAGAAGGGCAATTAAAACACTGACATCTAATCTAGTTTACTGTGTTAAAAAGAGCCACATGCACAGCAGGCCCCCTGAGGGCCCACACTGCTCCCGTGTGGCCCCGGTGGACACGAGCTCCCGGCCTCAGCCCCATTCCTCCACAGGCCGGCGTGGAGCTGTGCAGGGGCGGCGGCGGCGGGCCCTCTGGCCAGTCTGCTGGAGCCATTGTTGGGGGGGGAGGGCGGGTGACAGGCCTTGTG